CAAGCAGAGTGTGCAAACACCTTGAAGAAAAAGAAGAATAAGGCCATGAAGTCCACATGGAGTGATGATGAAAGTGCCAATGCAAGTCAAGATGAGGATGAAGAGCACAACAGTAATTTTGTTGCATTCAACGTGACTACAGTCCTTTCAGACAGAAGAACCACCAGCAAGGATGCATCTGTACCAGAATCTGTAGGTACAGAAATAAGCATGAAGCATGTTTCCGCAGAATCTGAATCTGATACTGATACAGATAGTGAGGAGGAAGACATTGATACTGAAGAGGTCCAGAAAGCATATGAAAAAATGTATTCCAAGTGGACAGTGGTTTGCAAGGTCAATATTTCCTTAGAAGAGCGGGTTAAAAGCCTTAACAAGGAAAAGGAAGAACTACATGCCATAGTGACCAAATACGAGTTTGATGATGCAAAGAATAAAAGGGATCTTGCAGAAACAAGACTGGAGTTAGAGCGAACTCAAAGAAACCTAAGGTTGTTGAACTCTAGAACGACTAAATTGGATCATCTCTTATCTCAACAAAGAACAAGTAGCGATCACACTGGTCTTGGTTACATTGGTGAGAGTTCTGGTACAAAATTGGCATTTGTAAAGGCCACAAACAAGTCAGATGTCAGCCATGAGCAGAATACTAAGGTACGGTCAGGTATGAAATCTGTCACAAATTCTGTAGCTACAAAACGCAAGCCGAAGCATTTTGTTCCTATTTGTCATTACTGCCACATACCTGGACACATAAGACCTTGGTGTTATAAGTTTCAAAATGCCTTGAATAGAGGAATGCAGTTTTATCCACCTAATGATACAAAAACAAGAAAAATTTGGGTTAGAAAATCTGATATGTGGAGTCAAATGGCACAACTTCTTTCCTCATCGTCTATGCCTTCTTCCTCGGCTGTTGATCCTCCGGTTTGATCTGTTCTTCAGTTTGTAATTTTTTATTCCAATAGTTTATGTTCTATTTTGGACTTTGGCTTTTTGTTTCCCAAACTTAGGGGGAGAATAATGTATTTTTTCGTGGTTAATTAGTTAGTAATTTTCTTTAACACTTTCTTTGCTTTGAGTACTCTTGGGTATAGTTGTGTAACCTTGCCAAACTAAGCCAAAGGGGGAGATTGTTGAGTCGTGTGAGTCATTTTGGCTCTCTTTTTATGTTTTGGGCTTTAGTTGGCTTAGTTGGGCTTCTTGTTTAGATTGTTTATTTTGAAAGTGTCAAGAAAAACTTACGTTTTGAAAGTAGTATATTAGTTGCTGCAAAAATGTCGTACAGCCTTAGTTTGAGTCGTTTGGCTGCTTAAGTAATGTTGTGCGTTTTGACAAAATCTGAAGTTAAGCTTTCGAATTCGTTGGGTTCGTTTTAAAAGAAGAAATCAGCTTCATTAAGATAAGGATCTGAGGATTTCGAGGAGAAGATCAAGATTGTGTTGCTATTTTGATTTAAACCAGGATTTGAAATTAAAACAAATATCTGTTAAAGATTTTGTTTTAGTTTGGATAAGAGGTTTATTCAAAACCGTATTTTATGATGGATTTGTTGTGAAGATCAAGATATCATCTAAAAAGATATTGGAGTGCTGAGAATCTGGGTCAAGGAAACTGAAACTGGAATATGCGAAGTAAATTACGTGCTTTGAGTTTTAAATTGATAACTGTCTTATCTGTAACTACAGATTCTGAGACAGATTCTGATTTTGAATTAAGATCAGTTTATAAAAGGATGCTGCACGAGGAATCTACTGAGGGACTGCAATTCTGAAAAAGCACGGCGTGCACAAGTTGAGGAGATATAGCGTTCATCGATTTTGATCTTTGAGAGATGATTTTGTGAGCTTTGGGGAGAAGGCGTTTTGAAGACGAGTGGTGCTCGCCAAGCTAGCCACTTAGGGTGTTAGACACAGCGGCGTCGATAGTCAAGAGGGAGTCTTGAGTTGGTTAAGTCCGATTGGTGTCTATAACTTTTTACCTATTAGTGGATTGCTTGATGCCTGGGCGTGGCCCCGTGGATGTAGGTCGGTTTGACTGAACCACGTTTAATCATTGTGTGGTATTTACTCTGCTTTTGTGTTTTGCTTTGTTAATCCTTAATCATTTTATAAGAAAACACGGTAAAAGCATACAACCGGTTCTAACACAATATTTTTTCTCTTAAAATTTCAAATTTAAGTTTTTATCTTACGGTATTTATCTCACATAAATACACTTTTTAACTCGAGTCGAAAACTTAAACTAACGAAACGAACGAGATATGCAAATCTTTTTATCATTCTCATATATTGCAAGTGTATATTATCCAATAATAATATTATTATTTTAATTTAAGTGTAAATTATGGTTACTAATGTGTGTAAAGATGAATTAAGTAACTTTTTGATGCTTAATAAGGATAACTTTTTGCAGAGTTTTGGTTTAGAGGAGTGATTTTTTTTAATTGTGGGCCACATTGCAGCCACCCGGGTTCACCTTGCGCGCCAGTTTTTAGAATTTTACCATGCATGTGCAATTGTAACTGGGTTCCTTTGCGCTTATACGGTAATCTTTTATCCAGGGCTCTTTTTTTTTTGTTTTTTTTTTTTCAATTATTATCATTGGACATCATGAAATTGGTATGTTATTATACTCTGTTAAAAGTTGTTCTTTCTGGTGATTGACAGGTTTTGAAACTGGAATTTTATCTATTTATGAAGATTCTTCTTCTAAAAGTATGGTTCTATTTGTTTTGGTTGATACTTTTAACGCCTCTTTTATGTTTTTCCGAATTTTATCTATTTGTTTTGGTTGTATTTGTAAGTTGGTATTTTCTTCTTTATTGTGTGCGTAAGCGCTAAACTAATGATTTGACTGTCATTCGTATATGGGATGCATTTGAACTTTATCTATTTACTAGTAATTTAAGTCACGTTCATTTCACCGATTTGAATTTAGAATTCAAATTTTATTACAGTAAAAAGCTCTCAGAAATAGTCACATCTAACCCTTTTGTTACAGTAAAAAATTCTCACATAAAATCACATCTAAACTCGAATCAACGAACTAAACGGTCCTTATTCTATTGAAATTGCATATAGCATTTAATATTTCATTCTGCTGTATCTTGATCGTCTTATTCCAATCTGTTTTTTACAAGATCATTCAGTACATGAAATCATTCTTGTGTGTACATTATTTGTATTCCTAAGTTTATGTATACATCATTCAATTTCCCAATGAAGTTCTCACGTTTTTCTATGCATTTGAGGATTCGCCATAGATGAGAAAGGCGAAAAGTTTTTGCCTTCACCATCTCAGCCAAAGGTTTAGCAATCATCATGTTGAACAGAAGAAAAACAAAAAAGTTGTGTCATTGCGTTGACATCATCATCAAATGGACCTCTTACCCCAAAAATAATGTTGAAAGATAAACATAGACAAAAAAAAAAAAAAAAGGTATAGTTGATAGACCAAAAGGAGTACCAAGATTTTATTAATAGAACAAACCCAAATGAACAAAGGCTGCTTTTATTAGAGAGTTTTACAAGAATCCTTGAATGAAGCTCAAGGGTACAGCAAAACGTACAAAACAGAAAGCCATGTCAAACTGTAGATGATTAATTACAAAGGCCCTGCTATTTTACAATGGCCATATTCAACTCACACCATCCATGTCAAGGTCACGCATCACTAAAGGGGGAAAAAAAAAAGGAAGGGGTTAATCCTCATTGGAATGATGAGAAAGTTGTTGGTGATCAAACCCTGCTGTTTTGAGGCAGCGGTAGAACTCCGTCGAAGAAATCACCGAAGTAGCCACGAGGCTCGTGAACTAGCTTTGAGATGATGTCTCTGAGAGTAATCACTCCTTCCAAGTTCCCATCGTCATCAACAACATACACTCGATGGATCTTCTTGGAGTCGAGCTTTCCGCAGAATCTGAATCTGATACTGATACAGATAGTGAGGAGGAAGACATTGATACTGAAGAGGTCCAGAAAGCATATGAAAAAATGTATTCCAAGTGGACAGTGGTTTGCAAGGTCAATATTTCCTTAGAAGAGCGGGTTAAAAGCCTTAACAAGGAAAAGGAAGAACTACATGCCATAGTGACCAAATACGAGTTTGATGATGCAAAGAATAAAAGGGATCTTGCAGAAACAAGACTGGAGTTAGAGCGAACTCAAAGAAACCGAAGGTTGCTGAACTCTGAAACGACTAAATTGGACCATCTCTTATCTCAATAAAGAACAAGTAGCGATCACACTGGTCTTGGTTACATTGGTGAGAGTTCTGGTACAAAATTGGCATTTGTAAAGGCCACAAACAAGTCAGATGTCAGCCATGAGCAGAATACTAAGGTACGGTCAGGTATGAAATCTGTCACAAATTCTGTAGCTACAAAACGCAAGCCGAAGCATTTTGTTCCTATTTGTCATTACTGCCACATACCTGGACACATAAGACCTTGGTGTTATAAGTTTCAAAATGCCTTGAATAGAGGAATGCAGTTTTATCCACCTAATGATACAAAAACAAGAAAAATTTGGGTTAGAAAATCTGATATGTGGAGTCAAATGGCACAACTTCTTTCCTCATCGTCTATGCCTTCTTCCTCGGCTGTTGATCCTCCGGTTTGATCTGTTCTTCAGTTTGTAATTTTTTATTCCAATAGTTTATGTTCTATTTTGGACTTTGGCTTTTTGTTTCCCAAACTTAGGGGGAGAATAATGTATTTTTTCGTGGTTAATTAGTTAGTAATTTTCTTTAACACTTTCTTTGCTTTGAGTACTCTTGGGTATAGTTGTGTAACCTTGCCAAACTAAGCCAAAGGGGGAGATTGTTGAGTCGTGTGAGTCATTTTGGCTCTCTTTTTATGTTTTGGGCTTTAGTTGGCTTAGTTGGGCTTCTTGTTTAGATTGTTTATTTTGAAAGTGTCAAGAAAAACTTACGTTTTGAAAGTAGTATATTAGTTGCTGCAAAAATGTCGTACAGCCTTAGTTTGAGTCGTTTGGCTGCTTAAGTAATGTTGTGCGTTTTGACAAAATCTGAAGTTAAGCTTTCGAATTCGTTGGGTTCGTTTTAAAAGAAGAAATCAGCTTCATTAAGATAAGACTCTGAGGATTTCGTGGAGAAGATCAAGATTGTGTTGCTATTTTGATTTAAACCAGGATTTGAAATTAAAACAAATATCTGTTAAAGATTTTGTTTTAGTTTGGATAAGAGGTTTATTCAAAACCGTATTTTATGATGGATTTGTTGTGAAGATCAAGATATCATCTAAAAAGATATTGGAGTGCTGAGAATCTGGGTCAAGGAAACTGAAACTGGAATATGCGAAGCAGATTACGTGCTTTGAGTTTTAAATTGATAACTGTCTTATCTGTAACTACAGATTCTGATTTTGAATTAAGATCAGTTTATAAAAGGATGCTGCACGAGGAATCTACTGAGGGACTGCAATTCTGAAAAAGCACGGCGTGCACAAGTTGAGGAGATATAGCGTTCATCGATTTTGATCTTTGAGAGATGATTTTGTGAGCTTTTGGGAGAAGGCGTTTTGAAGACGAGTGGTGCTCGCCAAGCTAGCCACTTAGGGTGTTAGACACAGCGGCGTCGATAGTCAAGAGGGAGTCTTGAGTTGGTTAAGTCCGATTGGTGTCTATAACTTTTTACCTATTAGTGGATTGCTTGATGCCTGGGCGTGGCCCCGTGGATGTAGGTCGGTTTGACTGAACCACGTTTAATCATTGTGTGGTATTTACTCTGCTTTTGTGTTTTGCTTTGTTAATCCTTAATCATTTTATAAGAAAACACGGTAAAAGCATACAACCGGTTCTAACACAATATTTTTTCTCTTAAAATTTCAAATTTAAGTTTTTATCTTACGGTATTTATCTCACATAAATACACTTTTTAACTCGAGTCGAAAACTTAAACTAACGAAACGAACGAGATATGCAAATCTTTTTATCATTCTCATATATTGCAAGTGTATATTATCCAATAATAATATTATTATTTTAATTTAAGTGTAAATTATGGTTACTAATGTGTGTAAAGATGAATTAAGTAACTTTTTGATGCTTAATAAGGATAACTTTTTGCAGAGTTTTGGTTTAGAGGAGTGATTTTTTTTAATTGTGGGCCACATTGCAGCCACCCGGGTTCACCTTGCGCGCCAGTTTTTAGAATTTTACCATGCATGTGCAATTGTAACTGGGTTCCTTTGCGCTTATACGGTAATCTTTTATCCAGGGCTCTTTTTTTTTTGTTTTTTTTTTTTCAATTATTATCATTGGACATCATGAAATTGGTATGTTATTATACTCTGTTAAAAGTTGTTCTTTCTGGTGATTGACAGGTTTTGAAACTGGAATTTTATCTATTTATGAAGATTCTTCTTCTAAAAGTATGGTTCTATTTGTTTTGGTTGATACTTTTAACGCCTCTTTTATGTTTTTCCGAATTTTATCTATTTGTTTTGGTTGTATTTGTAAGTTGGTATTTTCTTCTTTATTGTGTGCGTAAGCGCTAAACTAATGATTTGACTGTCATTCGTATATGGGATGCATTTGAACTTTATCTATTTACTAGTAATTTAAGTCACGTTCATTTCACCGATTTGAATTTAGAATTCAAATTTTATTACAGTAAAAAACTCTCAGAAATAGTCACATCTAACCCTTTTGTTACAGTAAAAAATTCTCACATAAAATCACATCTAAACTCGAATCAACGAACTAAACGGTCCTTATTCTATTGAAATTGCATATAGCATTTAATATTTCATTCTGCTGTATCTTGATCGTCTTATTCCAATCTGTTTTTTACAAGATCATTCAGTACATGAAATCATTCTTGTGTGTACATTATTTGTATTCCTAAGTTTATGTATACATCATTCAATTTCCCAATGAAGTTCTCACGTTTTTCTATGCATTTGAGGATTCGCCATAGATGAGAAAGGCGAAAAGTTTTTGCCTTCACCATCTCAGCCAAAGGTTTAGCAATCATCATGTTGAACAGAAGAAAAACAAAAAAGTTGTGTCATTGCGTTGACATCATCATCAAATGGACCTCTTACCCCAAAAATAATGTTGAAAGATAAACATAGACAAAAAAAAAAAAAAAAAGGTATAGTTGATAGACCAAAAGGAGTACCAAGATTTTATTAATAGAACAAACCCAAATGAACAAAGGCTGCTTTTATTAGAGAGTTTTACAAGAATCCTTGAATGAAGCTCAAGGGTACAGCAAAACGTACAAAACAGAAAGCCATGTCAAACTGTAGATGATTAATTACAAAGGCCCTGCTATTTTACAATGGCCATATTCAACTCACACCATCCATGTCAAGGTCACGCATCACTAAAGGGGGAAAAAAAAAAGGAAGGGGTTAATCCTCATTGGAATGATGAGAAAGTTGTTGGTGATCAAACCCTGCTGTTTTGAGGCAGCGGTAGAACTCCGTCGAAGAAATCACCGAAGTAGCCACGAGGCTCGTGAACTAGCTTTGAGATGATGTCTCTGAGAGTAATCACTCCTTCCAAGTTCCCATCGTCATCAACAACATACACTCGATGGATCTTCTTGGAGTCGAGCAACAAAATCATTTCTTTGATGGTGTGGTCCTTTTTGCATGTGATCATCTCGCTCAAAGTCAGGGAAGCCTCCTTATGCTTCTCCGTGTAGCTTCTAACAGCTGTTAGGAAGTTCTTAGCCGTGATGGATCTGTTAAGGACATGCCAAATTAGTGTCAACAAGAAAACCAAAGCAAAGTACCTGGTAAATTTACCAACAATGAGAAGTGGAAAAGCAGGCTTTTCAGTGCCAACAATATCACAACAATCCACTTTGTCAGCCTAAAAGATACTATTAAGGAGGGTTTTAAAGATTGTCAAGTTTACCTCCTAATTCCTTATAATTTTGGCAATTTACCCATGAATTTAACAAAGTGTTGCAGAGTTCCCTCAATTGATGATGGCTGTTAAAATGTGGTGGCAACTCCCCTGTACATGTTAATTGAGGTTGTTTGAAGGAAAAGTGAAATTTCGGATGACAATTTGAGCACGTCATGTCCCGTGCATGAGGGTGGGTGTTTGCTTTCAAATTTTTAACATTATTCATTGATTTAAGAAACTCTAAAATATTTTATTAAATTCAGAGGGTACTTTGTCACAATTAAAAGTTTAAAAAGGGCAACTTGCCAATTCAGTCAAAATTTATGGGGCAAAAGCGCATTAAAAAATAAATCTTTTCCGATTCCTGGAGTTTTACTTTGATTCACTTACAATATATAAGGTGAAAAGGCATCACTAGCTGCCAAGTTGAGCATAAACTCGTGAGTGTTGTTTAAACCTCAATTAAATCATCAACTAATAGGATTATGTTAGTAATTAGTAATCAATATAATAAGTAGAAGTGATTTGTTATGTTTGTTAAGTAGTTAGTAGTTAGTTAGGCCTTGGGATTGGTGAGTGGATTAAGAGATAGTGAGTATAAATAGAACGGATGTAGAATAAGAGAGGATTATTCAGTTTGTAGAAACTTCCAAGAGAAGATAGTCTAGGGAGAGCAAGGAATCTCTCGAATATCCCCATATCTCTTTCTGTAACCCAATTTCCGCCATTGATATTAATCAAAGCTTCCTGTTAGCATTTCTCTTTCCGATTTGTCATTTTCAATTGGTTGTTTGGATTGGAGCTTATCATCAACATTCAGTTTTATTGCGCATGTCAACAACTCCTTCCGGCTTTCCAAAATCGATTTAAAAAAAAAAATTGCAGCAGCAACAATGTACAATTCTGCAAATAAATGGAAATAAATTTCATATACGCACCTATAATCATGGTAGATCTCTGGAGCTGTAAGCAAGAACTGGATATCTCTTAAGCTTATGTTACCAACTGCTTTGGTGCCACCATTTTCAATCACAGGCACCCCTCCAATCCTCTTTTTCCGCATCAGCTTAAATGCTTGTAAGACTGGCTCGTCCTCGTAAACCTTCAAGAAGAAAGGTCAGGAATTAAGAAAACTAGTGACGTTTAAGAAATATAACAAATTTTTCATAAACGAGAAAAATTCGCACACCTTGATAATACGATTACCAGTCACCGTTGGAAGACCAACTTCGGATAGTTTCTTGGTTCCCCAACTCTCGAACCAATGAAGGCCAGCACATTCCGCTAACATGTGAATCACGGCAGACTGAGTGATTATGTTCTCAATCTTGCCCTCGCCCAAATCAACTACAGGGATGCTCTTCATCTTGTACTTGGAAAGCAGTAAAAGCATAGTCAAAAATGAGTTGGATGTCTGCAAAGCAAGAAATGGAGCCCACCGGAATGACCCCGAGATGTCTCGAACCTGTATGCATCGCGACAAGTCTAGTGTAAAAAGCTACTAAACACCGAATATAGCAAAGCTTTTTTAACGACATAAGGTGCTACAAACAGGACCTTTGTATTCTTGTAAAATTCAGATGCAGTCAGGGCCTCAAAGAAGTTTCCTGATGTCGGTGCAGCCGAGTCAGGGCCCAACACTCCAAGTTCAAGCAAAGAAGTCACACCACTTGCCGCCGCAGCAACAGCACTTCCACTACTTGGGCTCCTAGGAGAGGAAGGTTCTGACTACAATAACATTAAAAATTAAAGTCATGTTTTCAGTTTCCCTGATGTGAAAATAACCAACAACAGAATACGCAACAGAACTACTATGTTATACGAATGCCATTTGAAAGAATCGACGAACACTCAAAAATTAGACATTTAGATTATCTTTATGTAACATCAGAAGTCGTTATTTTACTTTCATTTCACTTTCTCAAACAATTCAAGCCCAATATAGATAATTCAACAAAGTACAGCTTTGTCATGTAGCCAACCTGATGCAGAATCCACACAACAATGCCTGCGAATTCAACGATCCCAATGTATCTGTCAATCCAACTAGCATCCTCAGGCGCATCAACATCCACAACCGGTGCACTAAGGATTTTGTGGTCGGCCAATATTTGAACAGCCTCAGCTAAGCTACAATCTGATTTTATCTCTATCACTGGATACAACAAAGATTTCATCATCCACAACGTAATCTGATTTTAAAATAAATAACATTTGTGATCCCATAAGAGATCACTCACTCCATTTTGTTAAATACAAACACAGCCCTTTCAAGATTATTAACATTCAAATTCATTTTTCCTTTTCGTTTCCTTTCCTTTGCCATTATTTCCTCCCTGTAACAAGAACTTACCAAAAAAAAAGAGCAATTCGATGTACCATATGGTTTTTAACTTACTACAAATTAGAGACAAAAATTTACTGTTCTGTCAATTGATCACAGATTGAAAAAGCAGAAAAAAAAGTAGTGATCAAATAATGATCATCATGGTGATATTCAACATTTTTACATAGACAAAAACAAGGTACAAAAAGCATTTTCCCATCAATACTCACACCGATCACCTATAAAATTCAGAAGTTGTTCATCAATATATACGCATGCACAAAACACCTAAAACATACCACAAATCCAATCATAGAACATATACGTACACATATACATATATATACATAAACATACATATATATATACCTTGATCGGAAGGAGCAGGAGGAAAAGCAGAAACAGGAATGCTTTCAAAGCAAGCGTTGAGCTTCTCAGTGGGACTGAGCTGACGCTCTTGCGTGTCCCACAGATCCTCCACTTGCATTCCAAGCTTCGCCTCTGGGCTCCTTGGACTCGGACTCTGCTCGCCCGCCGTCGCCATCTCCGCCTCACCCATCTCTCTCTCTCTCTCTCTCTCTCTCTCTAACTTTCTCTCTCTTTCTTTTTTAGTGTGAATCAGACAAAGATTGGATCCATAATTCACTGACATATATAAAAAAATCCTAGCTTGATCCGAAGATTCTAATGCCCTGACAAACTACTTATGACAATAACAGTGTTCCTTAAATCTGAACCATTCGATCTGCGTATTTTTTAGTGCTTGGATTACGATAACACGTGGCGAAATCAGAAGTGGGAGGTGTTATGTCCGTCATGGACTTGGCCGGTCAACGCCCTGAATTATTGTTGGTTTTAATGTTTATCCGATTTGATTCTTTTTTTAAGCTATAGTGTTTCGAGCTTATCCTGTTTTTAATGTCGAGCCTCACAAGTGGTGGGCGGTTCTAACGTGCGCCGGACCGAATTCTGCGCACTGACAGGGCATGTCCACGTGGCTTAGTTGGGGACACGTGGATGTTGGTGACTGAATTGTTGTTAACTGTTACCGGTAAACAGTGAGCGGGAAGTAGGCCAATCACCGAATACTGTTGGCTGATGTATGGTAGCTTTGATCGGGTTATGGACCAAGGTTCGGGTAGGGGAAAGGCCCAATGGATATATTTTGTGGGCCTCATGGGCTTACACATCCCTATTCAGGCTTGAGCCCATACCCGTGTTCACGTTCTTTCTTTTTTTTTTTTTTTTTTTTTTTTTTTTTTTTTTCCCACCCACGTTTAAAATTGACAATGATTCTAATATGAAATATCAAGAATCAAGTGAAATGATAACCCTAATAGGACAAAAAAACAAGGAGTGAAATGATAAACCTAATAGGACAAAAAAAACAAGGAGTGAAATGATAAACCATTAATTTCAAGTGAATATCTCTTAAAATAATGGGAAAGTACTTATTAAGGGCTTGTTTTTTTGAGTGAAAAATTAAAAAAAAAAACAACTCGAGTTATAATTTTATTTGAGTTTATATTTTTTGAAGTTTAAATTCGAGTTTAAACTCGAGTTCAAACTCGAGTTTAGGACTAAAACTCGAGTTTCAGTTTCCTCTTCAACTCGAGTTCAGAAACTCGAACTCAAATTAATGAACAATATTTTTTCTATTCTTAAAAATGTTATAACTTTTTCGTTTTAATTCTGATTGAGATGATTTTTTTTTCTATGCGTTGACAACGAAAAGACGAATAAAACCCGATCTATATACCCTATTAAAATTTTTCATCAACATTGAGTTTTTATTAAAATGTTATCTAAATACAAATTTAAGTTTTGACTCACTCAAACACAAACTCAAAAATTTTTTTATCTCAAACCATAACTCAAATGTACACAACCAAACACAAACTCAAGTTACAAGTTCAACTCAAGTTATAATTCAAATTCAACTCAAGAATTATACTCAAGTTAAACTCTAAAAGAACAAACTCTAAGAAAGATAGTCGTTGGAAATAAAACTTTCCATGAATTTTTATTATTATTTGATTATATTGAGTAACAGTAGCAAAATAATATTTTTTTAATATTTTCTCATTAGTTTGGGCGACTCCATTCTCCAATCACTAAACAAGGAATGAAGTTACATGTACCACAACTAACATGAATACATAATTTCTAAGTCGTTTTTTTATTGTTTATTATTTTAATTTTTTTTAACAATCACCCTCAAGGACTTAGAGAAAGGACCCGATTCAAAGGCAAAGTATAAACCTTCCTAAATAGCCAACAATTTGTTAGTTTCACCATCGAAGGAATTTGAAAAAACGAGTTTACATTATATATGTTGCTTTATCAAAAGTTACAATCCCAAGGAGACTACATATATTATTCTATGACTTAATTAATAAATATCTAAATCATGTAAAAAACATTGTCTATAAATAAATTTTACATTATATTACATAAAAATCTAAAATATTGTATAAAAATAAATATATTGTACTGGCAGTACTGCTATTTCCTTTATAAGATATTTTGTTGCTAATAACCTAGAAATATATCCAACATTATATTGCTAACTTTCCATCATTAAAATCTTTTATCATGAATATATTAAGAATATATTCCATAAAATTACACACTCATATATTAAATAATGATTTTTCTCCATCAATGATTAGAAAAAATGACAACACTAATTCGCGCATTAAGAGCAAATGAAGTATGTGAAACTATTAGGGCAAGAATTTACAAATTATGGACAAACAATGACCTGACTACGGGCCGTTTAATAAGTCTTGACTATCTCTTAGTCGATGAGGAGGTAATATTCTTTTACAAACACCATATTATACTATCTTTGATCTTATATGATATTATAAAATAAATAGTGATCTCATTTTTTCTATTTGCAGCACAAAGCAATTCCAGGAACAATTCGGACACGTGATTCAAACACCATTTCTCAAAAAATTCAATTGGACAATATAAACGACATCAACTACTTTTTCGTTACACAAAACAAGCCAACATACAAAGTTGTGCCCCATAATGCAAGTTGCAATTTGCATGTGCCACAACATTTGTCCCAGTTACAGAAAAAACGCTGCCCATTCCATTCCACAGATTTTATTTCATTGAGTTCGATCAACTTCAACATAGAATTCAGACAACAAAAATTTTAAGCGGTAACATAAACCACCGTTTCAAAAAAAAAAGAATTATTATTAATTTATTTATCCATATTCTTTCAATAATCTATTTATCTACCAACATATATCATTGGCGTCCTTACAAAAGTACAAACAGTTGACCAAACAAATATCAACAAAAGACAGACATCGCGGCAGACTATAATGATACAAAATATAAGGTAAATAACCTATGCACAAACTTCATCGCGATTATGTCCCAATAACTACGGAAAGCTTTTACAACACTTAGAACATTCCATTATAATCTTCATTTTTCTAATTTATTCTCCCAACAAAGATAAACAGCTTCAGGTTACTTTGTGGGGACACAAAGCAAATTAATTCGATGAGAATGCCATCAAATCAATCAAAAGACTAGTTGTGACAGTCTTTGCAGCAATGTTGGTAAAGCAATATCTAGGTACTTTCACAATATTTGATAAAAATAATCCTACATAAAAATAAAACATCTATAGCAAGACACATTAAAATATTAATAAATTTATCGTCCAAACCTTAGGAAATGCATATGTATCAAGCACTGCAGCAATAATTTTTTACATTGAACCAAAAATACTAGAGACAAAAACATCAAAGACAAGATAATAAACATACTTCATAATATTTAAAAGCCACAAATCTTTTATTACCTCTTTTCTAAGCCATTATTACCCTTCCATCCATAGATTCTCTCAACAACCTCAAGAAATTGACTTCGCAAGAGCATCAACAGTATCAACTCAACCCATTGAAGAACATAAGACACATAACAGAAGAATAATTAATGAACTAAAGACATTAGACCAACAAAGCAACGAAGTTAATATTCTCTGTCCTTTTACCCCTTCACAGGGCACATAATTTATCTACACAGGGCACATAATTTACAGTAAAAGCTACAATAACAGGATTCTCAACAAAACAAGTCTAGTATTACAACTCATGCCCTAGATGTTATTGACAATTGAAGCAAGCATGAATTGATTAATCGTGTTACAGTCATGGACACATAAAAATAACACCAAGTCCATGATAATCAAAATTTCAACCACGCTACTGCCAAAATATATTCCCCTTTATTATCCATAATAGACAACTTATTATATCGATCCACTATTTCTTTATATATTATAGGTACAGATTAATCGTCCAAATCGAAGATACAACTGGAGAAATGAATGTTACTATATTTGGCAGAGTAGCACAGACCCTGATAAAAAAACCATGTTCTATACTAACAATTGATGAATGCTTCACCGATCCATTTACAATCCCCCCGGTCATCACTCAACTAAGAGAGCATATAAAGATTTTCCAAAGATACTTTCAACGAAGAATACAACAAACAAATACAATAGTCTCAAAAATATTTGAAGACACGGAGCCTACAGTATCTCATATATAAACAACATTTTACCATTTCAGACCTCACACAAAGACAGCACTAGCAGCTCCAACACCAATTCATCCACAAACTCTAGACCTAAAACAATCAGCCATAAGGTAAGTCAAATATACTAATTTACATTATACATAAATAAAAAACAATATTTATAACTTTAAATACGCATCTAAATAAATTTTCACCATTTCAATTCTCAATCAACAAAAATAGAACAAGCTAAAAAACTTCCAAAACCAGGTAATATCATTACCCTTAAATCAAAATATCTCTAATTTCATCAATTATCAATACTAACATTTTTAAAATTTATGTTTTACAGATAAAAAAATAAAATGAGAAGCACTAAAAAAACTGAAGTACAATATAAATAAATCTTTATCAGAACATTATACATACCTGTATATATAAATATGTACATATAAATTACTTATGTATTATAAAAATTATTCCCTCTCACTCTCACTTTCTATATCTCATCTTTAATCTCCATCATTTTTGCAACAACTTTATATAATGTAAACTTATTACTTGCTGCAATTAGTGCTAGAACTTTAGACGGGCCGTCTACGACGGCCCGAAAATACTAATTTTGTGCCCTGATCTGACTTTCCTAAAATTTTTGGGCCGCCCGCCCGAGCTCGAGCCTGAGAAGGCCCGTAGACGGGCCGCGGGCCTGGCTTTGGTTGCTCGAGCCCTTTTTTTTTTAATTCTTTAGAGATAGAGATAATCTGAAATGCTCGAAAAAAGTATTTTTTTATATTTTATAATTTTTATAATTATTAAATTATTTTGTGTTAAAATTATATAAACACTAAAATCAACATTCAACACACATTATTAACATAATTTAATAAATTAATTTGTATATAAATTTTTAAATTCGTAATTCATGATTGTCTCGTTAAAAACCTTACTTAGAAATACCCAATTGGGATAAAAACTTGGTAAGAAAAAAAGAGTGCAATCATTTTGTGACGACTTACAAATTTTACAAACTTACGAAGTCTAGATATACAATTACAATGTCGAAAGTAAATACATATTTATAAATTACAAATTAATTTGAAGCTGAAGGATCGTCTTCAAAATTAAATGTTAATATATTAAATTCATCGACTCATTATTGACTTGCCGGTGAAATTGTATCCTGTAAATGTTGATCGGCACGATCCCAATCCTTAATGCAGACCAAGGCTTCAACAATGTCCATTTACAATGCGTTTAGGCATTCCTCAAGTATTCGTCCGGTCGTAGTGAAGGATTGTTCGGATGAAACATTGGAAACTGAGATCGAAAATATATCCATTGCCAATCGAGTTAGGATTGGCCAAGTTAATGCTCATGCCCTCCATCATTGAACTAAGTCAAACGATTATCTAGTACCGTCGACTACTAAGCTCTCACTGATGCACGTCATAAGCTCGTTGAAGCTGCCGCCGCCGCTGCCACATGTTGATGAAGATCCACTCACAACTTCTGTGTGAGTCATCTTCTTCTTCTTCTTCAACCCGAAAACATTCAAACTGTCGAGGTGCACTTGCATTTCCTCCTGGAGGTTGCAACACTTGCAGACGCAGTCGCATTTGCACTCGCCATTTTTCCACGCCTACCACCATTGCGACCACGACCTCTAATACGTCCACCAGAGCTCGGATTAGCAGATTCTTGCGTAATAAATTCATTAATGGGAAATTGTCTTTCTTTCACGTTGTGTTGGGCATCAACAGAAATACCACTATAACCAAAAGAATCCATTATAAAAAATAAGAGCGATTTGAGAGAAATTGAACTTTAGGATATTGTGATAGTTTTTAAAAAAATTGTGAGAGAGATTTGAAAGATTAAGAGAGATTGAGAGAAATTGAGAGAGATTGAGAGAAATTGAGAGGGATTGAGAGAGTTTGAGTGAGAAAAATGTGTGGGGATAAGGGATATTTATAGGGAAATTTTTGAGTTAAGAAAATGATTTCTTTCCCCCAAATTTGGATCCAATTGTTATTTTTTCGGCGGGTCGGGTTCGGGCGTGGTCGGGCAACGGTAAAAAAGATAGCCGTTAGGGTCGGGCACCAACGGTAAAAAATATATCCGTTGATCGAGCTCGGGCTTCGAGCAGATCAGGCTTGACTGAAAAAATTCAAACAAATTTCAGCGGACGACAGTTAATGGCGATAACACGGCAACAGGCTTCGAAGAGTTGTCCATTTTCGGGCTGCTCAAACCCAAGCCTAAAAAATAAAATTGAACAAGCCGACATTTGGGCTCTACCGAGCCTGAAAAATTTGAGTTTCCGGCCGGCCCGCCGGCTCAATGTTCTAACACTAGCTGCAAGGCGCAGGCATTTCACTAATTAATCGCATAAAAGAACTTTTTAATAGAATAAATCTTTTTTTTTTTCATTACTCAACTAGGAAATTATTTTCCTCCGGATTCTCATCAACCAAACAGAGAGCAAAAGGTCCCACACTCCCGCTCTCCATATATATAGGCAGAAGCCGAAGAGAAAGCGTGCTGCTTAGGGCCGTGAAAACAGGCGCGACCTTTTTTCACAGAACCCGCCACCACTTTCTTTCGTTTTCCCTTATTTTCTTTGATTTTCTCGCGAGTTTCTGTGTGTACTCCATGGGGAGCTCGTCTTCTCCACCGTCCGATTCGAATCGATCGCTCAATAATGGCGCTTCCGATCTTCTCTCCAACCTCCCCTCCCGTGGCCTCTTCTCTTCCACCGTTATCTCCTCTAATCTGGTGATTTTTCTCTTCCCATAACTCTTTTTCACTTCGTTTTTTTTTTTCCTTTTTTTTTTTTTTTACGGTTGAAGTCGCTTTTCTTCTCTTGTTTTTTTGTCTCGAATTTTCTGTCTGGTTCCCGAGAATTTGTGAGGGGTGTGGAGGTTGGAAAGTTTGTAGTTTTAGTTCACATTCGAGAGTGATGAGACAACAGGGTTCTAGTTTAGCAACCAAAGTTTCGTTTTTTAAGTTAATTGAGTTTGTTGTTTCTGTGATCACAATTTGCTAGTAATCTTTGTGTCATTTTAGGTATTAGGGCACAATAAATGATGTATTTTTCTTTTCTTTACTTAGAATATCGTTGCTTGGAAATTAATAATAGGGTTTCGAACTTTTATTTGAAAGAACAAAATTTGGTGTATCACGGGATTGATATATGATAAATTTTACAAAGTTTGGAAGCAAATACACACATTGTTTTGTTCATTACTATTACAGTAATAAGAATAAATTAGGCTTATTACAGTGTCAATAACTGTTTCTGGATTCTATTTTGTGGGAAAAGATTTTATGTTAATTGATCTAGACCAAAACACTTGTTTTTGTTGGAATTGATATTACTATTACAGTAATAAGAATAATTTAGGCTTATTACAGTGTCAATAATTGTTTGTGGATTATATGTTGTGGGAAAAGATTTTATGTTAATTGATTTAGACCAAATCACTTGTTTTTGTTGGAATTGATATCCCGGTGTCCTGAATTTTTCATATTGGGACAAACAATCTAGGTCGATTAGTCTTTGAAGCTAAGAAGAAATTTTGTATTCCTTGACTGAAAATCAAGCATCTTTACTTTCAACTTCTGTGATCTATCAGTTCTTTTAGGCAACCCTAGCGTGCGATGTTTCTGACCTTTGTGGTTGAATTCCGTAAATTTTGTTTATTGATTATTTCCAACTTTAATGCGCACTGCTACTTTTCTTTGAGGAAAGGAAACGACATTATTTTGTTTTAATTATTTCAACTTACATTGTAACTTGTTTATATGTTGAAAACTTTGTGCAGGGTGGAATGCGAGTTTATGTTTGTGTCAATGACACATCTCCCCCAGGTTTTCTTATTCCTTTAACTGAGTGCCTCACTTGTTAAGTATTTGTGTTATGTTTCAATTACTGCAAGTTTATAGCATTTTTGTTAACACATATTAAGTTGGAGTTTATATTTTTGTGTCCGTGACACATCTACCCCAAGTTTCCTCCTTCCTTTAATTGAATGCTTGGCTTGTTAAGTATTTGTGCTATAATAACTGAGTTGTTAATAATCCTGTTAATACATATAGTTTAACATGAAATGTGTTTGACAAAATGCAAAGTTGATTAGCGTTTTCTTCTTTGTTCCGAAACGAGATGTGACAAGTTTGGTATGAATCTCTTATGAAATTCTATTGTGGCAAGAGGTACATTCTACTAGTAAGGAGTTAAAAAAATAATAATAAAATTGAGGTTTAACAAATGACTTGACTCTATGTTGTCGTGAGTATGGTTCCTGATTTCAATGTCGGAGATCTAGGAGTTGTTTGGTTGGGGGATTCGTACCCCGATTCGAATCATGGTTCGTGGTTCGCTACAGTGTTTTCTCTCACAAAAAATACACGTAAATCCAAAATAATTCTAATCCATGAACCAAACGTTTCCCTAATCTAACAAATTTCTAACTTACTAGTAAATTTAACCCTACACATATTTCATTTTGTGTTTGCATCTTTTTATCCGTCCTATTTTTGAATGAAATCTTAAAAAAAAAAAAAAAAATCCATTTGGTTCAAATCTTTGTTCAATAGTTGTGCGAATGTTTTCTTTTTCTTTCTTATATATATATATATATATATATATATATATTCAGGCAAGTGTACATTTGAAAAATATATTCTTAGAGACAAAAACTAGAATGTCAAGTTATGTTAATGGTGACTCGTTTATTCATTAAGTTGAAACTTAATAATTCTTTTTTTCCCTTTTTTCATTCCAGATGCATAATGAAACATTGGATTAGATTTGGATTTGGAATTTTTTACTATTGACGATTGCTTTCTGACCACTTTTTTGTACACACTCAGAGGAGCAGCAAATAAAGACAAATCAACAGAATATATTGATAAGATCACTTATGCTCAGGAACAAGAAGGGTGATTCCAGTTCGAAGGATGTGAAAGGTGCTGGTGCAACTGAAAGTTCTAGAAAGAGGTACTGCTAGTGCTTTAAGTTGGGTTGTGCTGCCTTTCTTATTGGAATTGTTTTTCGCATGTTTTATTTCCACGCACTCTCCTCTGCTACAAATTATTTTAAGGTTTAGAAAGAGAGCTTGGTTGTCTACAGAGCTACTTTGTCCTGCCAATCATTGTATCTACTACTTGTTACACATGTTTGCATGGTTAATATCCAGGTTTAGATATTGCTACTGCTCTAATATGGTGTCTAGTATTTGGTTACTCTGTTCATTTTATCATGTTCATTCAATCTGCTTCTTGTCTGCAGTCTCACTCATGAAATTATTGTTTGTGTTTTTAGGACGGCTGAAAGAGTTCTGGATAGCAGGGCTTCAGCTAAGAGAGCCAATAGTCAGAGTAGTTCTCGACAAGGTAGTTCTGATATTTCTTATTTTGTATTTCCAGGTTAGATGTCGCATATTGGTAATTTTCTTCAAAGGCTATGACTCCTCAGCTTTCTGTTAGCTCAGTATTAGCAAGTTTCAGTGCTTACTGCTTACAATAATTTATTGTTTACATTTGAGAGTGCTGTGTGATTCTAGATTCGATTTCCCTAGTTTGTGGCAAGAGTACGGTTTTTGTCGTTATAACAATGAAATGGTAGACGTTTCTTGTAAATTCTATGTAGAATGAGTGGGCTGTTCCATATCTGTGAGATGTAATGCACCTTAAGCAATTTATTTTCTGTTCGACCTGATCTATGCTCTGAATTCCTTTTGGTAACAAATAATTATTGTCTTTGCTTTCGTAACGACTTTTGTGCAGAGGGAATGGGATCAAGCAATCAAGCATCAAATAGGGACCACCAACGCCTAACTGTAGAGAGGCTCCGTGCACTACTGAAGGCAAGAGGTCTTTCTCTAAAGGGCAAAAAGGCAAGTGTTAAGACAATTTAGTATTGGCGATTCTTGTCCACTCTTAAGAATCATCTAGTAACATGCACGTTCCAGAGTTGGCTGTGTATTATGTGGGAACCATTTGTTGGCAGATTCTATCTCTTTCTATGTTTTGTATATTCATAGGTTGATGGTGATGTGTTGTGCTTCCTACGCAGGAAGAACTGATTGCACGCCTCAAAGAAGCTAGTGGTTAAGCAAAGTGCAGAAGAGAGAACCGATAAAGCGGCCAAGGAAGAGGTTAGAGCTTGGTATTAGCATATCCGCTCTCTGCTTTTGTACTCATCGAGGACAACAGTAGGTGATTTTCTTTATTTTGATGTAACGTAGGAATGGTTTACACCGGAATCAGTGGTCATCTAAGTATAAAATGAGGTTGGTTGAAGACTGAAAATCCTATTCTGTATAATTTTGTAATTCTAGGCGTTTCTTTCTTTTTTGGGAGGGTGTTGCCTTTTCTGTCGTACGCTCATGTTGTCATGAATTCCAATGCATGTTCTTGCTGACTACAAACGAATCTAATTTGATCGACAGATGTGACAACATTCATGGTGAGAAATTTATTTGTTTGAAACTGTTTCTTGAAAACCATTTCAAATGCGTACTTGGTATGCTTGATATGTTTGGTTTGGGATGGGGGAAAGTGTTTGATTGTTTAGATTAGGAAACCGTCCTCTCCACTCTCCACGACTTGTCATTGTTTCAGGCGTGGTTTGTGGGGAAAAACATGGGATATGTGTGGTGAGAAGGATCCATTAGACTATTAGGTAGTCCATATGCTAAAAATTGACAAGTTAGTTTATAAGAATATAATGATTGAATTGTTGGTTTACGAAATGTTTTTGGATGCGGAAGCGTGTATGATGCGGATCTTTTATAACAAAAATTTTTATAAAACTTTTGAGATATTCTATAGGTTACATTAATTTATACATGATATTTACCTAGTAAATGATTAAGTCGACGACTTGAGTTTTTTGACCACGAACGTTCCTCGCTCCAAGCTAGTTAAGAACACTCAAATCTTCTTCGTCAATTCTTAGAATTTACAAAGACGTGTGTGTGGGCCACTTGAAACAAAACAGGATTAGCAAATAAACACTCAAGTTTTTTACGAATACCAACACATGCACAACGTGGAATTTTAGAAAAAAATTTTTCTTTTCCACACTCTATAAAATTTGGCAACTATAGTTAGGAGAGAGCAAAAATTGTGTTCTGCAATATCAAGTTTTTTACGAATACCAACACATGCACAACGTGGAATTTTAGAAAATTTTTTTTCTTTTCCACACTCTATAAAATTTGGCAACTATAGTTAGGAGAGAGCAAAAATTGTGTTCTGCAATCTCATATTTATATAGTAGTAGTCAGACTCTCAGAAGAAGTCTAATTTTTATTCTCAAGATAAAGCTTGATTCTTATTTCTCACTTCTAATTTGATTTTTGAAACAAAATCTCCTCTCCCTTATCCACTTATTGGTCGGCCATCCCAAGGAAATTTCTTCATGTGGTAAGCATATACTGCAAGTAAAGAATAAGGTAAAATTATGCATTTATCCTACAGTCCTATTTTGATTAAAATTCAAATTTCAATTTATGTCAAACTTAAATCAATTTGAATTTTAAATTGGATAACTTATCAAATAAGTCAAATTGATAACTTGAAAGCAAGCAACTGAATCTCAGAGAGATTCACATTGTGTTTGCGTTCACACTATGTGAACACCTTCATATTTGTGTTTCAAAATTTAAATTTAAATTTAAATAATCACATTATTTAATTTATAATTAATTCATAATTAATTCTTCTTGAGTGTTTTATTTTAAAATTTCATAATTCTAAAATTCTCATTTTGTCCTTAATGTCGTGTAGAATTACAAAGACGACGCGGGGACTCATATACCTATAATTTTGAGCTCTAATAAAATTAATAATTAATTAAACTCTTTAATTAACTAATTAATTCTAAAAGTTACTACATTATAAACTTGGAATTGCTCTATCATGATTATAGACATAAATTATTTCTAAACTGTGAAGTGTCCATTTGATATAGTTATTACATATAGATCAATCATCTATAAATAATTCATAATTAGAGCTAGGTGAAATCTGTTAACCTCTCTAATTACATCTTTATCCTTAAGTATCATTGATTCTCTAATGGACAGTGATTCATAAAACAAATTCATGAATCGGAGCTCCTACTGGTCCAAGTACGTACCGAATCAACCTTCAAGAGAATTATTTATCTACTTCTTTCTCAAGAAGGAATGAATTCCATCTCGTATAATAACATTCTTGGCTACTCACTTCATCATGTCTCCAAAATATAAGGAATGAGATTCATGATCTTGGAATTTTTACTGAGTAAATCAAAAGACACAAATCCATAAAAGTATACTAATAACTCATGATTAAGATCATTCTATATATGACAATCAATAGATTCAATTAGAATTTCTATACTTAACGGAAATTATCAAACATTTATATTGTGTATGTGTCCCTATTCCACATAATCTCATTATGCGTAATACACTCATTCAATATCTCATCATATTAACAGTGCGGATAACACCGTTTCATTCTAAATGAGAATGACATGTATTAGTAATGTCTTAATTAAAGATTCCGAACTTTAAATAAATTTATTACAAACATCGTTTTGATTATTATCCTTAAATATTATCCTCTCGCATATAACACTTATATACAATATTTAAGGTCACATAAATAATCATGAAATTTTCAATGATATTTATAAAGTATTCAATAATACATACACATAAATAATGAAATTTCTCTTTTATTATATAAATAATAATATGATTTATTACATCTCATACTTTTAGGACACCATTCTCAACATGAATAACATTCACCATTGATAGAGTTCTCAAAATCCTACTTGTGTTTGTGTATAAAACTAAGTAAATCCAATATTAGCACATAGGAGTGTTGCTTGATTACGATGAGCGGAACAATATTTAGCATTTAATTTCTTTCAAGCTAATAATAGTAGTTAATAGCTATCTTTTTTGCTAGTGTGTGGAGTTAAATTATCTGATGCGTAAAGGAGGCTCCAGTTTTGTGGATTTAAGGATTTAACATAAATGCAGTTGATCGTGTGATTTTCTTGTAATTTTAATTATTATGATGAAATTTTATAAGAGTTATCGTCAATCATGCAAAAATGGCACAAAGAATGCAAATAAACCAGTCACTTTGGCTCCTAAAGTAGACATTTTGTATATAATCATTTCTGCGCCTTTTCTCTCTCCAAAATAGACTCATTTTACAATATCAAATCATTTGTTCTCTACATAAAATCATATTGCATCCTTTTTTATAAAAAGATGTGGATCTCTCATTTCTTCACCGCATATTACAACATGACATAGTACAACACACATGCCCAACGTGGTCCGAACAAAAACAATCATCGGCCAATGCCGCCAGGACAGCAATACATGCATGCCTAAAACGCAGTCGACGTTAATGCGTCGTATGCGCGGGTCGCGGTCGCGGTCGCAGTCGCGTGAGTGACCACAAAATGATTAGACACGCGTGCGCCGGTTTATGGACGGTGCGGGCCCTACACTGACCCACCCACTCTCACTACACTGACCCACCCACTCTCACTCTACGACATCAAATGTTAAAAACCTGGATAGAATGAAATTCTTATTTTCAAGTTCTACGTTTTTTTTTTTTTTTTTTTTTTTTGGATTTTTTTCCTTTGCTTGTATATTATCAGGCGTGAGTAGACTTTTTAGGTCGGTTTAAAACTTTTAATGGTGGCAGTTTGCGGCGCAGAATTTTCATGACAAGGGTTTATTAATGATTAGGCAAACTCATCTTCACAATTCTATTGAAATAGAGATAAATAGGTAATATTTAGGCAGAAAAAAAAATAGACCAATTGAGATTATATACGATATAAATTGTCCTATGTAGAAGGGATAGGTACAATAAAATATTTATATAATGTAAAGGTGTAAGAAAGAATATACAAATTAGTATTCTTTCTCTCTCTTCTTTGTCTTTTTGATAAGGATAAAACATATTCCAATTTGTCGTCTTTTTTTTTTATCCTTTCTTTCCCCTAATTTATACTTTTTTTTTTACCAGAAAAAAATCAAAATATAAAAGCCACATCAGTTTTTGCTTTGACTATTTTTTATCCTTTGCTTGTATATTATCAGGCGTGAGTTGACTTTGTAGGTCGTTTAAAACTTTTAATGGTGGCAGTTATCCGCTGGAAGTGCGGTGCATAATTTTCATGACAAGGGTTTCTTAATGATTAGGCAAACTCATCTTTACAATTCTATTGAAATGGAGATAAATAGGTAATATTTAGGCAGAAAAAAAAATACCAATTGAGACTATATACGATAACCTCGTTCATTTTACCGATTTAAATTTTTAGTTTTAAGTTTTTACAGTAAAAAATTCTCAGAAAATATCACATTTTAACTCAAATTAAAAACTCAAATTCATAAAGTGAACAAGACCGATATAAATTGTCCTATATATAGAAGGGATAGCTATAATAAAATATTTATATAATGTAACGGTGTAAGAAAGAATATACAAATTAGTATTCTCTCTCTCTCTTCTTTGTCTTTTTGATAAGGACAAAACATATTCCAATTTGTCCTCTTTTTTTTTAATCCTTTCTTTCCCCTAATTTATACTATTTTTTTACCAGAAAAAAAAATCAAAATATAAAAGCCATATCAGTTTTTGCATTCACTACTTTTGCCCATGTCATCTATTAATTTTTTTACTTCTAGAAAATACAAATCTATATGTGTAAATTATAGATCCTTTGCCATTAATTGACAAATACAACAGTCTTTATAAGGAGAGAAAAAAAAAACAAAAACTACGTACTCTTTATAAGCTTATGTAGCTTATGATGTCTACTATACACACACACATATAGTATTAATTGCTGAAATAATATATATGCATTCGGACATCTAGTTTGAGTGAAAATAAATTAATTAGGTTAAAGACAGTACTATATCTAGTTTCCTAAAAAAAAAAAAAAAAAAAAAAAAAAAAGAAAAA